TGTAAATTGGTTCAGCTATACGGCCGTTCCTGGTTGTACCGACTTGGAAACCACATTTTTCAATACGGTGCTAGAAATGGGATTGATGCAGCATTGCACAAACTGACACGGTCTCTGCCTTATCAGATTCCCTCCTGCCTAGATTTACTATTTACTCAAGCCGAGCAAAGATTGGATTATTTGTCAGTTTCTGAACCACTGGGCACTAGTGATCATACGACATTGTTACATATCTTAGGCTTCCACATCATCGCACTACACCGCCATTACCCCGGAGAAATGTTTGGAAAACAGACTTTGATGCTTTATCAATTGCTGCAAATTCGATGGATTGGACGCTACCAACAGAAGGATCCATTGATACATGTTGGCTTTCCCTTAAAGATAAAATATCACGGCTATGTGACCTATATACGCCTGTTCGACATTGCAAATCGATGTCAAATCGATGTCGCCCACCCTGGTTCGATCGAGAGCTTGTAACGTTGACCAAGCGCCGCCGCAACTGTGAAAACGTTATAGGCAGTCTCGTGATCTCGTGCAGCATGCAACTTATAAGACACAGCGTAATTCATGCAATTTTATGAAATTGAGAAAACGCCAAGCTTATGAAAACTCTCCCGCCGAATCGGTCAAAACAACGCCCAAAAGGATTTTTGCTTATGTCAACAGAAATCTCAAATCCTCTGATGAGCTACCGTACATACAAGATCAAGATGGCAATATCATCACCTCAGACTCCGCGAGGGCCACTGAGTTTGCCTGCCACTTTTCTTCTGTATATGCCACAAACCCCTCAAGAGGCAGTCATACTGGTTCCTGCGCGGTTAGATTGGATCAGTTGGTGTGTTGCACCGAAAAGGTGCGTTCTCTGCTTCTGTCGCTCAATACTGAAAAGTCCGCTGGTCCTGATCGTCTCCATCCCGTAATTTTGAAGACATTAGCAGCAGTCATTGTACCTGCAGTCACGACTGTATACAGTAAATCCCTTGCAGAAGGTGTGCTGCCTCAGGAATGGAAAGACTCAGTTGTTTGGCCGTTCCCCAAAGGCGGAGGTCTTTCTCGTGTCACAAATTACCGTCCAATCTGCCTTACTCCCATACTGGAAAAGATCGTGAAGCAGCCTCTGTTGCATATGCTGGAAGAATTTCAAATTCTTACGCCGACACAACACGGTTTTCTTCGCGGCCATTCTTGTGTGGCCAACATGCTCACTGCTCGTCATCACTGGTTAGCCAATGTTGACGCTGGGCATGCTGTTGATGTTATATTCGTGGACTTTAGTAAGGCGTTCGATAGGGTAGACCACACCGAACTGATGAAAAAACTACAGGTCTACGGTATAGGAGAGGATTTACTTCGTTGGCTCAAATCGTTCCTGCATGACCGACCCTGGAAGGTGAGAGTAAACGACCACTGTACAGACTGGTATACGTCACCTAGTGGCGTAACTCAGGGAACGGTTTTGGGTCCAGTTCTGTTTCTACTACATGTAAATGATCTACCAGCGGTCCTACAGTCGGCAAGCCTGTTATTCGCTGATGATCTTAAGATATGGAAACCAACCGAGTGTGGCGAAGACCGAGTGGCTCTTCAGCATGACTTAGAACGTCTGATGGCCTGGCCATCTGAAAGGAGGCTTCCGATCCACCCGGCCAAATCAGAATACATATGCCTGGGAAGGCCAACTTCAGATCGTGTATGTCATCTAGATGGCCAAAAATTGAAATCGGCCTCGTCAATCCGAGACTTGGGCGTTCAAATCCGTTATGGTTTAAAGTGGAAGGACCACACGAGCGCTGTGTATAAGAAGTCTCTTCGCATGTTGTGGGCATTGAAGCGAAGTTTTTCGATGTGGACGGAAGAGTTAGTTTTAAAACTGTATCCCACCGTGATCCGGCCTATATTGAAATACGGTGCACCAGCTTTCTCCCCACTTACGAAAGCCAAAGCCCGAAAGCTCGAACGTGTCCAACACCTCGTTACAGAGATGGTCCCCAGTCTGTGGAGTCTTTCTTATTCTGAGAGATGCAGCAAACTGAAATTGTTCATACTTGAATACAGACGTCTCCGGATTGATCTCATCTATGCTTTCCGTGTTTTGTGCCTAAACCATTTTCCACAGTTGGTGTTCTTGTTTGACATTCCAACAACCAACATCACCCGAGGACATCGATTTAAACTTACTGCCACACGCATGGACAATGTGCCTCATGGATGCAGTTTCTCTCGCCGCGTTGTGTCATTTTGGAATCGTTTACCGGCAAATGTCGTTCATTCAGAAACAGTTCAAATTTTCAAACGTAATTTGGATGAACATTTATCTCATCTATGCTTCTGTGAGGATATCTCCGCTCTGGTCCCGAAAGTCGGCTATTCCACTAGTGGACCAAGGGCGTACATGGAATGATACGCATTTTCTTCTCGATGGAGTGTACACGGAATTTTTCTTTTGCTCCAAATATATGATTCTATATGATTCTATATGAGAGCTGTTTGGACTCGAGTTGATCGCGCGCGGTTTCTGACCCGTCTGTAAATTGGCCAATAAGAATGCTGACACGTGCTTCAGATCTGCAAAGTACAGTCATGCTGCGAGACTCAATCCTTGGGCTTGCATCTGAGACTTCGAGAGATGACACTGGAAGTTGTTAAACACCATACTTCTCTTGAAATCTGGGCACCTATGATGATAGTATGTCAGACGGAGTGAATGTACCGAACACAAAGGCCAGAATCGCGCCCTTCCTAAACAACTCTACAGGACGCAAGTAATGTAATTGAACTGACTGACCCCTAGCTCTCCTTCAGGTTCCGGCCTCGCCCCTCTGGTGATGCAGATTCCCTTTCAGCTGGATATGCCTGGGTGGGTATTGTATTGAGCGATATTCGTGTCTGTGAGGTTCACTTAGTAATTGCGCACACCTCGCTTAGCCATTGAGAAGCGGCTCCTCGAAGGTGTGCCGGCCACTGGGAAAAATATCCCAATCGCTACTCAAAGCCGGTACGTCTGCCTGCGGTACAACCCAACCAACCTCATCCAAGCATTGGATCTCTGATAGGACCGCGTCTTTGTTGGAGACCCAGCGACGGGTTCTACCTGGCCGCCACCACAACTCCACCCGGCTCATCATCCGACGCCAGGTTAAATTGTGTGTCCGCGCAGACCGAGAAGCTTGGTGGACCCGAAAGTTCGAAGAAATGAAAGACGCAAAGAATGCTGGAAACGTGCGCAAACTGTTCCTCTTGATTTGTTCGACTGGTCCTCGGAAACCTATTGTCAGCGAAATAATCAGGGACCAAAATGGCTCCCTGATATGCAGCAAAGCAGAACCTTTAGACCGCTGAGCATAGCACTTCGAGCACTGGCCATCTGCTACCTCCAATCCAGAAACCTGGCCTTCAACAGAAAGGTGGACCGTAAATATGGAGCCGCCTTCAGTCTCAGAAGTGTCCAAATGCATTTCTCTACTCAAGCGTCATCGCGCTGCTGGTCCTGACGACCTTCCACCTGCTCTTTTCAAGGATGGCGGTGGATTCCTCAGCCAGTGCCTGTCTAGCCCATTTGGGTCTATCTGGGAGAAGGAAACCGTCCCAGAAAACGGGTGAATCGATAGTGGTGCCCATTTTAAAAAATGGTACTCGCAGTGAGTGGAGTAACCTTAGAGGTGTTAGTTTGACGCCTGTTGTGACAAGGCTTCTGGCGTCATTGATTCTTCGTCGTCTTATGGCGTTACGCGAAGTCTTAACTCGGGAGAATCAAGCAGGATTTCGACCGAGTAGAGGCTGTGTTGACCACATCTTCATACTCCATCAGGTGTTAGAGGAGCGCCACATGTACAGACGACTCACAATCCTGGTGTTCCTTGACTTCAAGGGTGCGTTTGATTTTGTTAATCGGTCAGCGCGGTTAACTACACTTGGTCAACAGGACATGCCCCAGGAGTTTGTAGACATAACCAGATCCCTATATTCACATACTTTTGGCTGGTGAAGGTGTAAGGTGAGCTCTCCAAAAGCTTTCCTACAAAAAGACAATGATGTCCACTCTTTTCATTCTTGTTCAACTTCGTAATTGATGAAATAATGAGTCGAACATTTGACGGTCTTCAAAACTCTGGTGTTCAAATTGTTGCTGGTGAGAGTCTTGTCGATTTGGAGTACGCAGATAACATCGCCCTCATCGTTGAAGACCGAAGGGAAGCACAAACCTTGTTAAATAAACTGACCACCATCTTTTGTCATGCGCTCTGTACCTTCAAAGTGCAAATCCATGCTTCAGAACGTGCCGTCTGCGAACATATCCTTTACAATTCAGTGAGAATCGCTGGAGATTTCGGAAAACTTTACATACCTCGGTAGTGTGTCTGATGAAGCCGGTGCAAGAATCTCAAATGCTCGAATCACCTTTTCCAATTTGCGTCACTTGTGCCGTCCAAAAAAGCCTCTCACTGAATCTTAGGGGTTGTGTATACCAGGCTACAGTAAGATCTGTGTTGTTGTATGTGTGCGAGGCATGGCATCTGCGGACAGATGATGTGAGGCGTCTTTAGGTTTTCGACCACCGAAGCCTCAGAAGCGTGGCTGGTTGTAGATGGCGTCAGCGTGTCAGTAACGAGGCGATTAGAAATCGGGTATTTGGTTGTGCTGCAGGCACCTCAATCCGGGAAAACATCCAGCATCATCGACTACGATTGCTCGGCCATGTGTTACGCATGCCGAAACACCGTCTACGGAGACGAGTGTTGTTCTCGGTGCCTCCGTCAAGATTGCACAGACCGCGAGGTAAACAGCGCATGACTTGGCAGAAAGGCGTCAAAGAGATCACGAAGAGTTTGGGTGTTGTTGGTGTGGTGAGACTTCCAGGATGGGGTCCTCGTGACCCCGTCTGTGCTTGGCTGGAGACGTTGCAAGAAATGGCGGCTAATCGATGTCAGTGGCGTTCGTGTTGTCAGTTTCTTTCCAAATTGTCTGATTGAGCGGTTGGAGGTGTAGGCACCTCAGTATGCTTGACATAGGCCAGCACTAGGTCCCCTCACCCACTCTTTTTCTCTTCTCTTCTCTGTAGGGCTTTTAATACAATTATATATGTATATATAATACATGAACGACTTGCTGCAAGCCAATCCTTGCATGTGATAGCCCAGATCGACTTCTGAAAGCAATTTCTGGATATTAGCTCCATCGGAGGTTGTTTTCCGTCTAATTATGGCTGCCTCAAGTGTGTTGTAGGGATTCAAAGCTGGCAAGGGATCAATTAGGTCAACAACCTCCGCGGCAACTTCACTGGGATGCTGGAAGGTCACGGTCAGTTGTGAGCTGATGTGACGGAAGTGGAATTAACAATCCGTTTGAATGAATCGCACTCTGAGGTTATCAACGCCAAAAGTTGGGAGTTTCATATGAAGGGAGAACGAGATGACTCAGTGGTTAGAACGCGAATTTACTGACCGGAAGGTCCGTTGTTCGAATCCGACCTCTGCCTCTCGACCTCTCTCGTCTAGGCTTGAGTAACGTGACAGTATCCCAGCCCTCATGCTTCCTCCGGGTGGCATGGTAGTTAGGCACCGGAAGGGTGCTACAGCTGAACGACTCAAGTGGACAGAACTTTCACCCAAGTCAGCTTTGAGTTCGTCCTCATTAGACATGGCTGAACTAATGAGATATTGGACTAAGTAAGCGCGCGTACGAGAGCGATGGGAGGACTGAGCTACCAGAAAAAATAGAACAAAGCAAAATAAGACGGGCTCAACAACTATGTAGTAAGTAACGACCCTATGGAGTCTCTGGTGGACAGAGCAAACTATGAATGTAATTCAGACATAATGTCACAAGGAAAACAATCCAAGGAAATATTGACTCACAGTTCACCAGAGGGAATTCCCAAGGTCCGTATTCCGTCGTACCACCACACCCAGAAGAGGTTCTATTTTCCTGGCATTCCAAACCTCCGGTAGGCGCAATATTAGTCCACTGATGTGAATAGATAGGTCCAGTATTTTCAGCTAAAATTTTTGTTCACGTTGGGAATTAGTGATAGTCAAAACTGTTCAATCTCCAGTCACAACAACAGTCACTCGAGTGGTAGTAACGTACCACCCCTAATTGCCACCGATCGTCATCGGTGGCGTGTTTAGTGGGTCAGCAAGAGGTGCAAAGTCCCGTTGAGCCCGGGAGCTTCACCAAAGCAAACTTTGCGTAATCATGTGACTAACATTGA